ATGAGATGCGTTGTCTCAGTGCGACTTATGTGCGCAACGACGAGCGACAAAGTGAGGGCATCATGACTCGACCTGCCCTGGATTTAGAAATGATGTGTTGTTCCTGCATATGACTCGGATCGCCAAGTAGGACGGGATACTCCTGGCTCTTTGTCTTTTTTTCTCTTTCTTTCGCAAAGCCAGGAACAAGGTTGTGATGTGGGGAACATCGGATGCTTGTAGATGGTAGAGTGGAATTCAAAACGCGGGCTGGAAAGATGTCATCTGGACTAGCCTTTCCGTGTTTCTGGCAAGTAAGTGGCTGGCTTGACCAAACCTCCGCGGTATCCAAACCAATTTTTTCCGGATGTCACATTGTCAACAGGCGATGACACCTATAATGGAATCTCATATTTGGCTGCACACTTAATACGGCGTCTTAATGTTTGATAGTTGCCATCGCAACAGACAAAGCTACCGAACCGGCGGCACCTACGTCTGAGAGTTCACCCTCATTCTATCCAGATCTCGGGTGTAGTCCAAGCCGATCACCGGCTCTTGGAGGCATCGTGAACTTTTGTCCCGATTTCAGTCAATCCGCAGAGCGCACGGCAGTTGAAGGTTGATGATCTCAAGCCAAACTGTCCATGTTTGAATGTGGATCAATGCAGTGATACTCATATGCCACGTTTCGTACCGGGCTCGGGGCGGAAAATCACCAGAGGAATCTGACGTCAACTCTTTCACCCTCCCAAGCACACGAGCTCATGGAAGAAATTCGCTTTCCTCGTATCAAATGCCAGAGTCACAGTTGCGGAAACCACGCTCCGCAATGGGTGCCTCGGAAGCCCGTCATGTGTATGACTATATCATGAGGTATCGCGGAGCTCGCCGTTGATTCCCGAAGATGAGAAAAGTGTCTTCGATGTCGGGAAAAAAAAGAAATGACTCGATACTGTGATGATCGCGCCTGGTAATGTTTTGATCTACGAAGAAGGAAAAACACAAGAACCCTACAGACCCAACTTGCCCGGGATGCAAGTGTCCGTGTGGCCAATGGCGAGTTCTCGCGGACGCCCGTTATGAATCAAGATGTCAGCAACATTCTCGACGGCAGCTTGAGCGAACGGTAAAGGGGAGTGTTGCCGGCGGGTCGGCCCCGCGGCTTTCCTGCTCCCAGGCTTGCTCGATCCCTGGTTGCGCCCAAGATATTTCCGAGCAAACAAATCGTCGAGTTCGTCCATATGTCGTTTTGGTGGACGAAACCAGATGGCTAAGCTTCCAATCCACCTTCTCGTTTTCGTTAAGTTTATTGACGGGAGCCAAAGATCCCGCCTCCATGCTGCTGTTGACTTTTGTTTTTGTTCCTCCCCAACTTAGCACTCAGCTACGTCGTCCGTCCGAGAAAATCCCTGCTACGGAATCGTCCACACAATGATCCCTCGCTGACTCTTTTGCGCCTGGGCCACCGCCCAAACGTGAAATCAATGCTTTGTGAACTTCAGCCAAAGCCGCTTGCTTTTTTTGGCTCCGCAAAGTAAAGACGACGTCTGGTTCAACTTGACAGTTCGAAACAGTGGTCTCGCCGTGCCATCCTTCTTTGGCGTTTCATATCCAGCGGCGCAGCTCCTCACTGTGGTGGTCTGCTTAGGCGTGTCGTCCTGTCGTCTCAAGATTTTCCTCGATCTGCGAGTGCAAAAAGACCTTGCACAGCTGACGATGCGGTGATGGCTGCGCCCACAGAGGATCGGCTAGTCAACGGCTGAAGATCCGGGGCCGACATATGACGTCTCATGGGCGTCTAAATGTCACCGCCTCGGCTTGTCTGCTATCGACTGCCGACGTTTCCAGGGTTTAGATTGCGTTTCTGATCACATGGCTATTCCAACAGCATCCATCAGTCCAGCTCAAATTGACCTGTTGAGCAGTGACAATCCCTTTGATATTCTTGTCATGAACGATAAGATTGTGCACATATTGCTCTACGGCAACTGAACGGGTTATGATGGATAATCTCTGGAACATGTGTAAGGAACACCCCGCCACTCATGATTACTGTGTTTTATGCAAAGAGGAGGCCGTCGCGGACGGGAGCCATGGTGGAATGGCTCGGGCGAAAAAGAGACAAAGGGCATCCCCGCCCATCTGAGGAGGGGAAAGAACGGCAACGTGTAGACAAGTTCGGAGACATGACTATAATAGAAGGAACTTTATTACATCTCAAGGCAGAACCAAGCTGACCTGTTCTATCAGGCATGCGTTTCCTGGCAACGTATATACATGCCTGTCTCGTAGAGGCGTCAGAGCCCGCAAATCTAAGATCACAACACGTCTGCGAAAACCTTGAAGAAGCCCGAGATTTGAGACACAACAAGGCGTGTTCTCGAACAGTCAAACCTGGAGAGGCGAATGATGAGGTGATTCATAAAACGGTGGCGAGCGCTGGGGATGCCGACGACGAAGCATGGGGGAAAGGCGTATGAAACCTTCCCACTTCTCTTCGTAAGATAAGATGTGATGAAAAGACAACAATCTTGGAACTATTATGTCGCCATTATACTACAGTATGCCCTAGGGAGCAGTAAATCTTCAAACTATCGAGGGCACTACCAGCTCGCCATCAGCAGGGGGGGAAAGTCACCGGCTCCGAGTCCAAGGCCCAGATGACCCGGCCGAAAGTGGGATACTCTGCCCCTTGCCATTTAAAGTACCCGTCGTCAAAGCATCGTGTCATAGTGGCTGCGAGAGCCTATTCCTGTCTTTCTGCATGCATATGCATCATGTGTGAGCGGCGGAGGTTGGGGAAGAACAGACCATGTGAGAATAGGAAGGGGCTCGAGCTTTACATTTCTGCACGATCCAGTTCTCTTTTTTGCGAAGATGTTTTGCCCTCGAGACAGGTATGAGGGGGGAAAACACCGTGTTTGTTCAACCATCGGTATGGGTCTTGGTCGTTTCACCTGTCCATGAGATGAGGAAGGTCCAAGATGTGGATTCCGGTTTGACAGATACAAAGCTCCAAACGCCGAGAAAAATAGATTGACGGGTTGATGGGAAATCTCGGGCGGGCAACTCATCCCGAGCAGAGTGTTTTAGGGCTGGACCGGGGGCGTCGTGATGGCTGTGCGGGCTGGGACGCAGGCGAATGTGGACAGAGAGAGAGGCACACACACGACTATACAAGTCAATTGCCTAGGCTGTTAAACGGGATATGTTTCTCGGGATGATTGATTTACCGACCTAAAGCTTTGCCCCCGCCCCTGGGTTCCGATTCAGCTGTCTGGGATGCGTGGGTTGTATTAGTCAGAAGATGGTTACGGATGTCGTGTCACAGGTCCGGCGATGCGTCGGCTCTATCGGCCCCGAGCCGAGGGATAGAATGAATCATTGACGTGTCGGAAGCCGGTTGAGTTTTGGTGATGGATCATTGCGAGTCTTGCAAGCGCGACAGGTGTCACTCAGCCAAGGCCATGTGAAGTTCGACAACTAGCTCTGCTGGCATCCTTCAACGCCAGGCCGGCTAAGGCTGATGAGCATCAAGTAGGAATCTTTCGGCGGGCTCAACCGCCACAGCCTTATGGATATCGCGCCAAGTCGTCCAAGAAGACCGTGTAAACAAGGAGTGTTCGGCTGCTGGAACCGACGGAGGTGTGCCGAATGAGCGATTCATGCGGCGAGCCCCTCTTCACGTCCCTAGACGGAGCTAGAGAAGGCGCGATGAGGAAGCAGAGGATGAGGAAGTAATTCGCGTCGCCCGGATGCAGTGTAATATCGGGAACACAATGAACAGACTGTCCCGCACAAGTACAGAGACCCATCTGCTCTGGAAGAGAAAAATTGGTTAACCGGTTGGCAAGATGTCCCCCTTAGAGACGTATCAGCGGCTAAACTGAAAAGAACAGATACTACACTTGATCTTAGCCTGAGGCTAAAGAGCTGGTGAAGAAGAAAAGAAGAACTCCGGCAGATGAGAGGGATAAGTCACAGACTTATATATATTTGGGACAGGGACAGTTGAGGCCAAATCATGAGCATTCTTGAGGCCAATCTATTATGCAGCCAAGTACTGAGGCCAAATTGAAGGCAAACCCGAACCAAATATGGAGCTTCAAAGAGGCATTGAGAGCGCATAATTCAGACTATAAAGATTGAAAGTAGCTGCGACTTATGCGATCAAGGTATCAAGGCAATTGCGGCTCCAGAGATGCCCAAGTGTGTTTGGGATTCTCTGTAAACTGAGAATGGGCCAATGCGTGACTTGAAAACATGTAGCTATTTAAAAAGCATATCATTCAAGAGGTGTCCAAGATCTAGAACCTACGACCGTCCGGCATCAAGAACTGGCCTTTGCCATTGCTGTATGTGGAATACAGGCACATCGTGAAGTCGTCGTCGTTGTTGTTAGTGTTGATGACGAGGTGGGGTTCTTCGTGCCCCTCCATTTTAGCCCTGGCCGCTTCCCGCGCTCCACACGGGCCACAAACGCGCTGGAGATGCACTGTAATTAATACCTTACCGTGCGACGCGTGACGCCACACACACACATTCCCGCCCGGGGCTGGCGCAATCAATTTCTCTGTGCTTGTCCGTCCGCCCCATGTCATTCTCGTAAGGTACACAATTAATCTGCGCGCGCTGCAAATTCACTTACTCCACGATCCGTCAGGCGTACAGAACTCTGCTTAAGTTCAATGTCTTTTTAAAGAGCACTTTTTCAAAAGTTTATTATCTCAATACCTCTTCCATGAATTCATGTCTTCCTCCAAGCTGTTCCCGCCCTCAGACGCGTCGCGTCAAAGATCGGGAATCCTCACACCCAGTTCCGATGGCTCTTTGAACTCCAAGCATGGAACCACGCCGCAGCCCAAGCCAAGTGTGCAGAGGAAGCGTAGTGCCTCTCATGCAATGGGCGACTTGCTCAAGGCCACCATTGCTATAAAGGCAAGTTGCAGTCTGCGTGGGTTGCGTATCGTCGCGTCGTGTAAATGGCTGACTGTCGCGTGTAGGCGCACCCGTCGAGCATGACGTCGAAGCCATGTACCTTGCAACCGCTTATGCTGCTCCCTCGCGAATATCTCCCTCTATCATGCCTCAACTTTAGCGCACCCCATGGCGAATTGCCTCCCAGCCAATTTTACGAGTCACATGTCAAGATCCTTGACCTCGAAGACCGAGTCGCCGACAGACCGAGCCTCCTGATTGCACGAAACGATGCATCTAAAGCCCTCTACGCGATTGAACGCGCTGCCACCGCTGGAAATGCGCTGTACGCGATTTTCAAGCTCAGTTCACGGGCGGACCTATTGGCGCTGGCCGAGAACGCAACTGTAACAGGAAAACACATCGCGCACATGCGGCAGGCAGAGGAGGCGCGGCAGACCCAGTTGCTCCAGGCACAACATGAGCTGCCGACTACGACTCCCGGAATACACAAAGGGCATAAAGAGAAGAGGATGGCGATCGAGGCGCTGCAGTCAATTGTGCGCAAGAGAGGCCGCTCGCAGTCCGTGTCGACCTTTGACGAAGCTACGAGGGCGGAGAAGAGGACCAGGTCCGATGATGACAATGCCTCGCGGCCGCAGACGCCCAGCGTTCTGAACCCAAGCATGAATCCAGTCCAGATGGTGGAGACGAAGCCGGAGCCTGCCGAGTGGATTGGGACACACCTGGACGCAGTCGAAGCGATCCCGCAGCCGGTTAGGGAGCTCAACGCCACGCAGACGGCCGGCGAGATCATGGAGAACGTCAGGACGCAATACATGGAAGCACTTTACAAGTCGATGGTAGGCGAAGTCCTTGGACGCCACTCGACGGATACATTGCTGACCTGCCACAGGGATCTCTGGCGTATTTTGCAAAGGGGCCGTTATCTCGAGCGCGTGCCGCATTCCATCTCGACTGCGACGGTACCATGAATATGAACGACCTCATAGACTTTCTCAAGAGTCTGGTCATGACTACGGTTCAAATTGACAAGAAGTACCGTGAGACAGTACCTGAAATAATTTCCAAGATGAAGACCCACGTCGACAGCTCTGATGAAGGAGGCAAGTCCAAGAAAAGAAGAACCAAAAAGATGAAACTGGGCAAAGACGGCATGTACCCTGGCGAGGATGACCACGTCCGCAAGTGGTGGGACTCGAGCAAACCGGAGCTTCAAAACGACGATGCAACCATTGCTCCGGCTCAGATCAAGTCTCATGTTTCCCTTCTCAGGACCCGTGAGACACAGCTGCAAATGATCCTTATTCTTGAGATCCTTGCCTTGGAACCGCTGCGAGCAGCTGACGGAGAGGGAGAGAGTCAGTTACCAGGCTTGCCGATGGAGGAGGCTGAGAACGCTCCTGAGGCGCAGCCCAAGAAGCGCAGCAAGCATAACTTCCCCGTGCTGGCCGATGTTCACGCCGACCGCTTGTGCATCTGGCAGTCGACAGCCTCTGATGAGACGAGACTTCTTGAGGATTCTCAGGTGTCTGTGGCTGCTGACGGCGCACCGGCTCAGAAGGCGTCCGCTGACCCGTTAAAGGACTTCTGCACCGATATCATCATGCCCTTGTAAGTCCTCGTGGAACAGCATCACCGATTTCTATGCTAACGCCCGTAGCTTCGCGGCCCGACTGCCTGGTATTTGTGACTCGATCAATCGCAAGCTTGGTGGCCCCATCATCATAGCTCCACCAAAACCCAAGACAAAGCCCTCATCCAGCAAGTCGGATGCGAAGCCTGGTGCAGCTGCGAAGCGGCCAACTCTGAAGGCTGCGTCAAAGAATATCGAGAAGGCCTTGTTCAAAGAACAGTCTCGTCGTAGCGTTTCCAGGGGCCCTAGCAATGCGATTGCGTTATTGAGATCCGCAACCGCAGCCAATCTTCCGGGGCTCAAGCGCGAGAATAGCGACATTGATCGACGGCCCTCAGTCGAAAGGATTGGCCTACTTTCTAGGAGTAACAGCTTGACCGCCTTGGATGATGCCAAGGCGCAAAAGAAGGCTATGGTGGAGGCCGAGCTCAAGGATGCCATCACAGCTCTCAGAAAGCCCAACCGTGAGCTAGCGGGCAAGGCCATAGTGGAAGACGCAGAGAAACGAACCTCGGGTGGTTTGTCTTCGATTAAGAGTACGCTCTGTCCTCTACTAGCTGATTCTCTACACTGCTGACTCTTCTCAGAATCCAAGAAACCGACAAGACATCCTCTATTTGATACAGTTCAGGTGAAGGTTACACCAGCGATTCACCGCTTCCGAGATGCCTTGGCGGAAGCGAAAAATGCTAGTAATATGTCGATACCGATGTCGAGCATTCCCCCCTCTAGCGCGTCGAGAATTCCCTCGACTGGGCCGCGAAGAGGTCATATCAATGTTTTGGGCAGCACACCGTCTTCGGCTATTCAGGCCACACCAGTCAAGCGTGGTGGCATATTTGCAGGACCTTCGCGTGATGATGAGTACGCCATTCCGCCCTCATCGCCGCTGATGATGAGGAAGCCTGCGAGGTCTCAACATTTGAGCGTGCCCGCCAGTGTGATTCGTGAGCGGCCTGATCCAGTACGATCGCAGTCGCCGGACGTTGGCCTGCCGGCGACGCCATGCAAACAAAAAACCAGAGATGTAATAGGCGATGAGGTGGCGGCGACTCCAATGGCCAATGCAGCGACGACTATCCCGCCACCATCGCCGCCGCCGCAAGAGAAGCCGAAGTCGATATACGAAAGACTAGGATGGGATGATGATTTTGACGACTTGTTATGATTTGCATTTGCATTTGCATTCTTAGGCGTGTATGAAATTATCAGGCAAGCAGATACCAAGTGGGTTTGAAACTTTTTGCCGGGTCGTGGACGGAATGGGAAAGAAAGATGGATCGGATCAGCTTGACGAACAAACATGACATACCATAGCATCACTTGGAGCCAAGGATTTTGCATTCGGGTAGCATTGCATTGCATTTCCCCCGAGAGGATGGCACGTAGCAATCATCGGGGTTAGATTAGGGTTAAAAGGAAAACGGATTCGCTGCTCTCAATCGAAAATGCCCGTTCCTCGTCTGGTTATACCGTCTTTTGTTCCTCCGGTCGCTTCTCTACGAACATGATGGGCAGGTCTCTCACGTCTACGTGCTCTTGAGACCCAAGGTCAATGACCCTGACGGCTTCAATGCCCACGATGCCCTCCTTCAGGGGTAAGAACTTGATCTCCACGACGTGGCATGCGCCAGGAGCGAGAGGGCCAACACGAGAGTCGGCGGTCAGGCAAACAACCTCTGTCGATTCGACGACGGAGTTCCGCTGCATCGCGTGAAGTACGTTCTCGTCAAGCACCGCGTCGGCGAGCTCCTTGGCATCGGATGCCGTCTTGCCCCGACCGCTGGTTGAGGGCGGGCGCATGAGTCGTACCTCGTTGCGTCTGCGCTTCGGGATCGCGACGAGCGCCAGCTTGCGTGGAGGGGCCGCCGGGACATTGGCCTTCTCTGCGCTACGGTTTACAACGAAGACCGTCCATGAGAAGACCTCGCCAGTGTAAATGGGACCTTCAGGACCGCAAAAGGTCATGGTGATGCCCAGCTCCGGCAGAGGTGCTTCGATTGAGCGTGTCGCTGCTTCGAGAGACGGAAGGGAGTCGGGTCTGCTGACTGCCGGTGCAACCAGGGACTGCGCCGCCTCTATTCCGTTGATGGAGAGCTGGGAAGGCCGGTGTGAACGCTGGATGGGCTGCATCGGTTGCATTGCCGCGTTGAAGCCTGGGTTAACGGGGAGGGTGAAATCGAGGGTTGTGGACCAGTTCATGGTTAGGCGGGGAGTACAGAGGCCAGGTTGTCTCTGGACGATGGCCTCAATGTGGATATCGAGATCGCGGCTTGGGTTCTTGGATGACGGAAGATCGAGCTGCTGTGGTGGCGAGAGGCGGTAGAGGAAGGTCACGTGGTCGTGTGGCACGCAAGACATGGGAAGAGAAAGACCAGAGGTGTCTGAAGCATTGAGGTCCTCGACCATGCCGCCATCTGCGACCGAGAGGCGAATGCTTGTCAGCTCGACGGGGCAGTCGAAGTAAGATGTGAAGTCAACTTCGAGGAGGGCGATGAGTGCTGGAGAAGTGGGCATTGTGTTTGGACGGGAGAATCGCACGCGAGTATGAACTGCCGGGAAGATGCGCACACGAATGCTGTTGAGGGCGCGAAGGGGTCGCGTCTGGTCCTTGGGCTGAGTGACTGGGGCAACTCGGGAGACGCGCAGGGCTGAAAGTCGTGGAACGACGCCGCCCAAGCCCGGATCACTGCTGAATGGTTCCAGGAGATTGAGACCCGAAGGTACTCCGGACTGAAGATACGCACCGCCATTCTTGCGGCCTGCTGTGCGTTCCGGCGTGGAGGTCCCCGACGCGGCTGCCGAGGCGGGCTTGAGGCCGGCGGAGGCGCTGAACACCGCAAAGGGGCCCTGAAGGCGGATACGAGGGCGAGCTAGGAAGACAGGGAGCTTCCAGACGGCGTAGATATACAACGGCCTGTTTCTGGCCTCTGCTTTGTTATCGGTCTCGGTCTCGTCCTTGCTACTGTTCTCGCTTCCCTCGTCAGGTTCATCAACGACGATGAACGGATCCGAAGTGTCCTCGATTGTGCCTTGGAAGATGATGTCTGTCGACGGGTGGTCCCGATCTGCGGCGTGACTGTTGACGATTTGGGTTTCGAGTGAGATGGCTAGCCGATTGAAGTGAGATCGCAATGTCTTTTCGTCGACAAGAGGTGCCCTAAGCACGAGAAGCACATCGACCGTTTCGTCTTGAACAAGTTATTATTCCAAGTCCTTTGCAATTTGTAAAAAGAGAAACACACCGAAGAAGAGATTTTCCCTTCGCTCAATGGAGTCAAATAGAGCTTGGGTGTCGTCAACGTCCTTGAAAGCTTCCTCCAGATTCAAATTGGTTGCCTTAGGAATGATGTATGTGAGAAAGGCGTTTTCGATGAATTCTTCCACCTCGGGAGGCTCTCGCCTGTGTTCATTCGTAGCCATGCCGGGCTACCTTATGTGCTGTGAGACGTAGCTTCTCATGCTCAATCGTGGAATGTTGGTGAGGGTCAGTTTCACAACTGTGTCCGCATAAAGAGGTATAGGAGACGCCCGGACAGGCTGCTTAGTCAAGCTCAGGTGTTGAACGGCAGTAGCTTCACGATTTACTTCTTACGATTAGAAGAGAGACAGTCGGTTGAGTTGTTGCCTCGCAAGTATCGTTGCAGTGCGGCAAAGGGTCTCGGTGAAAGCTCCGATGTATCGAGGTGAGGTCGTGGTGTTGGCAGCCGGTCTCATTGAGAGCGTTGATTGGCTCTGAATGGGATTGGAGGTCCCCTGTTTGGCTTACCTCAGCGGGGACACGGACATGCTGGACGGGCAGTGGATCCCTCCCTCCAAGCTACCCCAGTCCGTGCCCCGAACCAAATTGCGCATTCCGTGCATTCGCAAATTGTTCGCAGCCCTTTCTCGCGTACCTGCCGCGTGACGACCTGCTTGATCTTCTCGAGACGCTAGCCAGATCATCTCCAAACCCATTCCTTCATCAAAATCGACACAAGCAACTGTCGAGCTTCGCACCGATCTTGTACGGATCAGCCACGGACGACAATTTCGCCATGAACGGCTCCGGTAGCCCGTACGGCCAGCCGCCCGCGGCTTGGCAGGAGCATCGCACGCCTGACGGCAGAGCCTACTATTACAACCCCGCGACGAAGGTCACGCAATGGACCAAACCCGAGGACATGATGACGTCTGCTGAGGTATTAGAATTGACCTGCGACACCTGTGACTATCGCTAATTGACCTACAGAGAGCGCTTGCCAATCAGCCGTGGAAGGAGTATACTGCCGAAGGCGGTCGCAAGTACTGGTACAACACCGAGACGAAGACGAGCTCATGGGAGATGCCCGAGGCGTATAAGGCCGCTTTGGGAGCTACCAATGGTCCGGCCATATCTGCGTACGCAAATTAACCACCCCCATGCACGTCGCTAGCTAACAAGCGCAGGCCCACGAATGATCGAGGTTACGACCGAGGAGGACCTTCTGGTGGGTACTCCAACTCCGGATATGACTCTTACCGTGGCGACCATCGCGATCGCGACCGTGATCGTGAAACATTCCCCGAATCGCGCCAGTTGACGTATGGAAACGACACAAACGCAAAGGCGTTCGTTCCCGCCAGCAATGAGCCCGAATTTGCTACGCAGGAGGAAGCCGAAGCTGCTTTCTCTAAGCTGCTGAAGCGTAGTGGTGTACAACCCGACTGGACATGGGAGCAGACGCTGCGAGCCATTGCGAAGGACCCTCAGTATCGGGCGATAAAGGATCCGAAGGATCGCAAGGCAGCGTTCGAGAAGTACTGCGATGACATGATCGTCCAAGACAAGGAGCGCGCAAAGGAGAGACTGACGAAGCTTCGTACTGACTTCGAGACCATGCTTAAGCGTCATCCCGAGATCAAGCACTACACCCGGTGGAAGACGGCACGACCCATGATCGAAGGCGAGACCATTTTCCGGTCTACCAATAACGAATCCGAGCGCCGTCAGCTCTTCGAGGAGTACATCATCGAACTCAAGAAGGCGCACACGGAGAACCAGGCCGCCATGCGCAAGACCGCTATGGACGGCTTGATTGATTTGCTGCCAAAGCTCAACCTGGAGCCTTACACACGCTGGTCGGACGCCCAAGGGCTTATTTCATCCACGGCACCTTTCCAAAATGATGAGAAGTACATGACCCTGAGCAAGTTTGACATCCTGATTGCATTCCAAAACCACATGAAGGCTTTGGAACGTGCTTTCAACGACTCTAAGCAGGAGCAGAAGAACAAGAAGTTCCGTAAAGAGCGCAAGGCTCGTGACGCCTTCCTTTCGCTCCTTAATGAGCTTAGGAGAGACGGCAAGATCAATGCCGGCACAAAGTGGCGCCTGATTCACCCCCTCATTGAGAACGACGATCGCTACAAGAACATGGCCGGCCAGGGCGGCTCTACACCCCAGGAACTATTTTGGGACCTCGTTGAAGAGGAGGAAAAAGCCATCCGCGGTGCCAAGAATGACGTGGGGGATGTCCTTGAAGTACGTTGCCCGTGTCTTCCGTTTTTGTGTGCGGCCCACTAAACCTTTCACAGGATGAGCAGTTTGATGTCACCCCCAAGACTACTTTTGAGGAGTTCCACGCCGTTATCAAGAAGAATCGACGAACTGCTAACATTGATCGTGAAACGCTTATGGTTATTTTCGAACGGGTAAGGCTGTCTCAACTCAATCGTTTATCGCCGCAGCTGATGTTTGTGCAGATCAAGGAGAGACGGTCCTCCAAGCGTTCCGAGGAGGAGCGCCAATCCGAGCGACAACAGCGGAGAGCGGCCGATGATCTCCGGGCATACTTTAAACGTATGGATCCCCCCATCACATTGGATGACACGTACGAGAAGGTCAAATCTCGCCTTGCGGATATCCCTGCCTACCTGGCAGTCACCTCGGAAGAGGCGCGCATCTCAGCCTTTGACAGGCACATGAAACGACTCCGTGAGAAGGAGGAAGAGGCTGATCGCGACCGCCGCCGGCGCCGTGGCCGCGACTCTAGCGAACGCGATCTGTACCGTGAGAGACCCCGATCTAGAGGTGAGCGATCTCATCGTAGCAGTGGCCGTGCTACTAGGCGAAGTCGTAGCCCAGAGCCAGACGCATACGAGGCGGATAGGCGTAAAGCCATTGCAGAGCGCGAGCGCAACCACCGCAAGTCGACCATGGCCGAGAGCCTTCTTTCGGATCGCGACCGCCGCTTATCGCCACCTCCCCGCCGCGAGAGGGAGCGTGAGCGTGAGCGGGACAGAGATCGCGAGCGCGACCGAGACCGCGACTATGACCGTCATCGTTCCCGCCGCGATGATGATGGCCACTACGACCGCGAAAGGAGGGACAGGGAAGAGGAGCGCGAGAGACTTTACCGACGACGAATGGGATCGTACGATGAGCTCCCTTATGGGGACGAGCGCCCATCTGGATCTCGGCGTCGCCGCGAGGAAGATGAGGATGACCGTCGCGATTCCAGAGATTCAAAGGTACGTCGCCTGTGTTGGGCAAGCATGTTCTTCCTTGGAACGACTCGCTAACCTTGGTTCAGAGAGTCAGGAGAGAAAGAACACCCCGTGAGCGCACCCCCCAACGTGATACACGCACCAAAAACAGGACTCCGCCCCCGGCCGCAGCTCCCGCTGCTGCGAGCAGCAACGAAGACAAGGGCAAGAATAACAAGGACGACGCTGGGGTCCACTCTGGCTCCGAGGAAGGCGAAATCGAGGAAGATTGAGCCAGTCACGACGAGGGTCGGAGGAGGAATTAACCAGCGTGAGAAGTGACTTTCGAGTACGTATCGGAAATCACCAGCCGTCAGTGAGAGCGTGATTACTGCTGCGCCTACAGACACACCTGTTCTTCCCTGCATTTCCCGGCGCGCTGTTCGTCGGGTGGCATTTCTCTTCTGCCGTACGCCCTTCGCGTGTTTCATCCGCTACCACCATCAGGAGTGGGCATTCCCGGCATTTGTTTAGTCTGTATGTATATCTCTTGTTTGACCTAACTGCAGGTGCGCACTTCTCGGATAGTATAAAAAACGTACTTAGCTTTTTTAACAACGGTCTTTTGTTTCCTCTTATTTTGCTACGTAATATATATCTTGCCATGTTCTAAATATGCACGAATCTTGCCACAGCACATTGCTGATGACAAGACTGACGGCAGTCATCCTGCTTGATCCATTGTCCCTCAATCTACAGAGTCTGGGTGTCCCAAATGAATGTGCCGGCCGAGGAAGAAGTGGCTCGGACCCGAATGAGGGATTTCCCTACGCAGCGGGATCAACCCACGTCATTCTCCGTAGGACCAGACAACAGGGGATAGACTGCCGTCGCCGTTGTTAGCCTTCGGCGTCATCGTCCTCGGACGCGCCGGCCTCCTCTAAACCCAAACCGTGATCCTGACCGCCGGAAGCGCGCCTCCCCAGCTGCCGCTTATGCCCCTTTTGAACGCCCTTAACGCCTGTGTCAAAGAATGCATTGTGACGCAGAGGGAAAAAAATATCCTTGTGGATGCCCTCTTTAACTCGTCTTGTCTCCGTCGTCCAGGAAGAACTACATGCGCAGTTAGTAAATGTGGTCGAGCCACGCTCTTTTACGATAAAACTCACGTAGTTGCCACCCAGCTTCTGCTCCTGGTCGAGCTGAGAGTTCAGCTTGTTGATACGGGGACGGTAGTTGGTGGGATCGCGACGGAAGGTGACATCAAGGTTCTTGAGGAAAGTGTTGCAGCCGGTCAGCAAAGACTCGGGCTTGTTCGCATGCGCATCGATACCGGGCTTGCCGTCGAAGACAATGACTCGGTCGGCGAGATAAGTGGCCATGATGAAATCGTGCTCGACGATGAAGGCGGTCTTCTTGGCGTGCATAATGAAACGCTTGATGACACGAGAAGCAATGATACGCTGCTCGGAATCGAGGTAGGCAGAAGGCTCGTCGATGAGGTAGATGTCGGCAGGCATACCCAGAGACAGAACGATGGCGACACGCTGCAATTCACCACCGGACAAATTCTTGACTTCCTGGTCAATGAAGTCATCCAGCTTCAGGGGCTTGACGACATCGGTCTGGAATTGAGGGGACAGGAAAGCGGCCCTGATCTTCTTGAAGAAGAGCTGACGAACAGTGCCCTCGAATTTGGGAGTGATGGTCTGGGGCTTCATGGAGATCTTCATCTCAGGGACTGAGGCCTTGTTATCGGGCTTGAGTGCGCCCGCAAGCATGCGGCAGAAGGTGGTCTTTCCGGTTCCGTTCTCTCCCATCATGACAATGATCTCAGAGTCAGTGAAGTCGCCAGAGTCGATTTTCAGCTTGAAGTTGCCCAATGTCTTCTCCATCTTGGGATACTTGAAGGCACGGGACTTCTCAGCAGCGAACTCATCGGCAGCCTCGGCCAGCTTGAAGGTCAAGGATTCGTCGCGGAAACGCAGGTTCTCGGTGGGGATGTGGCCGTCGAGGAAGATGTTGATACCTTCGCGCACGGACTGAGGAAGGGTGACGACACCGTAAACAGCAGGACGACCGTACAGAACGCAGATGAAGTCGGAGAGGTAGTCCAGGACAGACAAATCGTGCTCGACGACGATGACGTAGTCGTCGTCACGGAGGAGAGAGCGGATGATACGGGCGGCGGCCAATCTCTGCTTGACATCGAGGTAGGAAGACGGCTCGTCGAACATGTAAACGTCGGCCTTGCGAACACAGACGGTTCCGATGGCAAAACGCTGCAGTTCTCCACCAGACAGGAGGTTGATCTCACGGTCCATAATATGGTTGAGCTCAAGAACGTCGCAAACCTCCTTCTTGTTGTCGAGGGAGCTCTGGGCGTCGATCAAAGCCTTGACGGATTTCTGGGGGCCCTTGACGGCACGGGGAATCTGGTCGACGTATTGCGGCTTGACGACAGCCTTGAGGTCATCCTCCAAGAGCTTGGTGAAGTAGTCTGTAAAAAGGGGTCAGCATGTGATAGGCCAAGTTTCTGGAGCTCGGTTCACCCACTCTGGAGCTCAGAACCACGGAAGTACTTGATGACATCTTCCCAGTCAGGAGGGTTGTCGTAGCGACCCAAGTTGGGCTTAAGTTTGCCGGAGAGAATCTTCAGAGCGGTACTCTTTCCAATACCGTTGGTACCGACGAGACCCAGCACATTTCCTGGTCGGGGCATGGGCAGACGATGAAGCTTGAAGCTGTTGGCGGAATAACGGTGGGTGACCTGGGTCTCGAGGTTCGTGGGCAAGTTGATGATGGTGATGGCGCCGAAGGGGCACTTCTTGGGGCAAATACCACAACCGATGCATAGCGACTCGGACAGGAAGGCGATGCGGGATTCGGGGCTGACTTCGATGCAGAGCTTGCCGGAGCGAACGACAGGGCAGGACTTTTTGCACTCCTGGCGACACTTCTTGGGCTTGCACTTATCGCTGTTGACGATAGCGACACGGGTGAGCTTGTCCGACATGGTGATGATGGTGCCCGACTGGTCGAGGCGGGGTTAACGATGGGAGGGTTGGTGGGGCAGTTTTTTTTCTGCGCGCGAAGGAAATAAAAATAAAAAAAAGAGGAGGGGAGGGCGGGAGCGTAGCGCAGCGAGGCAATGCGAGAGAGTTCGGTCGGTCGAGTTGGGAGGAGACGGGATTAAATTTGCAGGACCGGGCAAAGCGGCGAGGATTGTCGAGGCGTCGCGACCTGGCCTTCTGGAGATGACGGAAGAAAAGAATTTTTGGTGTTGTTGCAAAGTGTCGGAGACGAGAAACACGGTTGCGGCAGCGAAAAGCAGTCGGTCATCCAATTTGTGTGCGCCGTCACTGGTGTGAATCGCCCAATTTTTGGCGGGGCACTTTTCGATACCCTACCTGCCACACTACCCCGCCAGTGAGGGTTCTTGGGTCCTATCCAAGTAATCGGACACCAAAATTGCGAGAAACAGTACCTTGCGCTACTTTGGAAACACCTGACATCACTATGCTAGGTGAGGCCGAACGCCCGGCTTCCCATGCCTAGAGTGCGCTCAGCAACCACTGCAAGTGCCATCCACCAATCTTGTTTGGAATGTGCCTATGCACTCGCACTCGTCCGAAAGACCGTTGACCGCTTGTTTACCTATTTGCCAACTAATACCTGCCAGAATACTTTAATTATGCACTCTCCAACTGTGCGTGTTCGATCGAACCATGGAAAACGTATCCACTCGGTTGCCTCGAGTCTCTGGAGTCTGGAGCTTCTGCCGGAAGACGTGCTTTCTGAAGCCTCGGTCGCTCCATCTGGCAGCTGTCCACCAACCCCTGGCCAAGCGAGGGCATAGCGACTAGGTTGTCCAAGATGACTGCGCAGACGCCCGCCATTGCATTCCAGTCTCCTAGGGCGGTTGTCGTTTGCTTAGCAGGAATTTCCTAGAACACAACCAACACATGCAGAAAGAAAGGAGTGGCCCGTCAGAAAGAGAAAGACAAACGCGAAAGAGAAAGTCGTATGATCAATGCGCAGTCTTCGCTTCTTCGTTTTCCAGGTTCTGGACACATCGAAACACTAATTTCTGTTCAGAACTTAACCAAGCCTTCCAGTTGAAACTTTGCTTTAGCTTAACTATCGGCATACCAGAACAGATTCTACGACTGTCTGCCTAGGTACTAAAAACCTTTCTGACATTGGGATTTGATCTTGGGCGAAGGCTCGAAAATCGGTATCCAGTGGGCATCAACCGAGCAAGTCACAGCGTAGACTAGAGTCAGTACGTCTGTTCTACTCTCGGCAAGTAAATCTGATAGCTAGCCGATCCTTTATGTTGTCCGATCCCGCCTCTCGTATGTTTATCAGATCGGCAGTAACGGAGTTGCGATGTTGAGAGTGGGGAAACGAGACGGGAGCGGTGAAATCGCGGCGCTAGCGGGGTTCCGAGTCTCGGTGAACTATGCCCGCTCGCGGCGGCGCGTGCGCCTGGTCCAGATGCTGAGGCTGGAGGTCGTGGCCCCAATCCTCCCACCCCTGTCGCTCATTCGCTCATTCGCTCATTCACCGACGAGAGTCGGACTACGCTCACCTTACCTTATCGATAGCAACGAGGTACGTACCGCCGGTCTTGCCCTCCGGCTGGGTCGCCCGCTTGCTGAAGGCTCCCAAGAGGATCGGTGCCTGAGGCCACCATGTGCGACACTTTTCTCGGGGGTGATTCAGTGCGGCTAGCGCTACAACCACCTGTACCTCACCCGTGCATCCACCTCAATTCTTTCCTGCCTCTCCACCAGTACATTTTCCATCCACCACCACCCTTCACCCGCCAGGCTCTGGACAACCCACGCAACGTCACTTGTCCATATCCTTCTTCAATACCTCATCTGATACAGATCAATGGTACTTGCTGCCTGGGGGCCACATGTTAATGACTTGTAAGTTGCCTCTTCACCCACCATACTGGCCTTGCAACGGCCGGCCCAAATTCCCGTCGCGAACCATCATCTCAGCCTCGAGCTGGCGCGCTCGCATCTTGATATCCATATCGGCCATGACCCTAGTGGCCAATGGAATCGTTTTGGTTGATGAAGATGGCGCCCCCATAATCGATTCTGATGCCCTGGAGTCATGCCACGGCGCATCTGTTACGTCTGATGGGCACAATGGCACCGCCATCAACTTTCAGCCTCGTCTCCATCGATCGCGTCTTTGCGATGCGACGAGGGTGCCTCCTCCATCAATATTGCGCTTTCCCCCGTTCTATGATGACATATCCTGTCGCCAGAGC